TGGTAAAACTAAAACCGAAAAACGCGCTAAATCTATTCCTGAAAACCTGAAACAGTACGATCATAAGCACACACATAGTCAGGAAATAGGAAAAATATGTTCTAAAATTATTGATAGAGTGTGTTTCTGGATGTCTCTTCTATGGAATGTTTGTCTTTTGTCCATCACTATGATAATAGCAATGTCTTAGAAAGACCTGTGTCTTCTAACTTCTTTCATTGGTAAAGCAGACTACATCTTAACGGCGTTTCATCAATCAATGCAAAAGCTCTATTTGATTATCGACCTTATGAACTACAAGTATTTGTTTTATACAAACCATTTTTATATTTAAGTATTGGTACTGTATTTTTTTTCATTCCTTTATAGGTTTTATTTTTATCTTGTTTAAACATTTTTGTAACAGCCTGTTTATTTTGTATGTTTAGGAATATATCGATTGGGTAAAATGCTAAAAAAGGTGATTTATTGTGAAAAGTGGGAAGTACCAGTGAAAAAAAAATCTGGAAAACGAGACAATCTTCGTGAGCAATAACAACAATAGTAAAATATGAAAATTGCAGACTCGGTTTGTTTGAGTCTGTTCCTGAGGGATTAACAAAAGATGCAATATCTCTCACGTCCCCTAGTACCGGTTTAAGCGGTATCAAATTTTCAACACATGCAGTATACGGATGGAAGGCATTAAAGGACAACAATGAGATGATTTTTACAGTTGCCGCACAACACTTGATAGCTGGTGCTGTGAATTAAAACAAAAACTAGAAAAAGGACATGAAAATTTAAATTATAAATTAATGTGTTTAAACAAAATATCATCAACTTCATCAACTTTTTCAAAAGGCTTAAAAGTTAATTGTTTGGCCTTTGTATGCCCTTGATTTCATAGTCTATGAATACAGTACCTTAAAAGTTATAGATCTAATTTCAACGCGAAATAAAACTGTTTTAATTAAGTTATCAAAATATATCCATGAATCTTTATCATTGACAAATACAATCATTAACTCTTTACATAATTAATTAATTTTTTTTCTTGCATAAAGTTTGTCCTTTTAAATTATTGTTTATTTATTTCAAAAAGTTGTTTATAACTGTGTGTATTTGTGTTTTAACATTCTACAGGACTCTTTTTAATCAAATCTTTATTAACAAGACGATGTACATAAAAAATAACTGTAAATAAAATTATTTTGTACTTTGTTCTGTTTGTAATGTTATACCATATTGTGTTGAGAAATAAAAGAGGAAATAATCTGGAAAATAATATAATTTACAACAACGTGTTATTGACTTTATAACACATTAACCTTATAAATTAAACACGCCACACCGTTCTTTTTACATTGGCATGTTACATATTCTACTCACTCTCTACAGACTTACTGCAACTAAATGCAATAAAGCGTGATTTGATGTCAATTGAATATATGTGAAGAAACAATAGTTTTGCATTAAGTTGTCTATGATATGTAAAGATAAAGAAAGTTTAGCTCTGAATTTATCCATATTTTGCAAAGAAATTGTATAGCTTTTGCATTAAATTTATCCAGAATATGCGAATAAACAAAAAAGTTTAGCACTAAATTCGTTATTCGAAGATACAGATTGAGTGTAGTTTAGTGCTAAATTTATCCATAATATGAATAAGAACAGTAAAGTTTAGCGTTTAATTCATCCATAATATGCGAAGAAACATTTAAATTTTAGCGCTTATATATCCATAATGTGGAAAAACAGCTTACTTTATCCAATGATAATAAATCAAAAGATAAAAGAAAACATGCCTTCCGATCGTAAACGTATAGATATGCTTAAAATGCGTACCCTGAAATAGCTTTAAAGACATTAATGTAGTGGATGAAGTCTTGTGAGCTGCGTCAATATCAAACTCCTCACAGTGATTACCTCCCTTGGCAGAATTGTAATCACAGCCTTCAAAGACGTCACATGATGATGAAAGTCACATGACGTAACGTCGAAATTCAAATGTAAATATTGACCGTTACAAAGAAAATCTAACGTTATTTTTCTCTTTCTGTTTTATTTTTAACTTTCAGTGCCTACGTTCGATATAGTTTATCAAAAAATTATCGAAAGTATACAAAATAACGAAAAATAAATTCAAAAGCTTAAAAATATAAAATATCAAAATATTGTCTCGGTAGAAAATAGGCCCTAATCTCATAATTTTTAAAATTATTTCTAAATATTCATATTATTTATTTATTTATTTATTCATTAACATTGTTAAATAAATGAGAGAAAACTTATCTGATAGATAAAAGCTGTAGATAAAACAATTTTTGAAAAAATATAGTATATCAGAAATTCTGATATATCGGGACCATGGTGGCAGAGATCTACGCCGAAGAATTAAGGGGAGATCACTGTGGGGAGATTGCGTCAATATAAGAAACGACAAGTTGGAATAATTTACGTCAGAGCTTGATAAAGGATCATGTGATGTAAAACCTGAACAATGCCGGGACTATTTTTGTAGATTATTTCGAAACTTCATCAGGAAAACATTAAAGTATTCTATGTCTATGTAATCATCACAATTTATAAACTATATATTTCATGATAAGTTTGTAATAGTTATATTACTAACGTAGGTTTGACAATTGGTATCTTTGCAAATGAAAGACAGTGACTAATGATGCATAAAATAGGGAAAAACAGACTCCCTAAAGAAAGCCCAACATGTGAAAATTGAAAATGTTGCAGGCTCGGTTTGACTGAGCCTGTTCAAGCCTTGCAACATTGGCAAATTGTGTTGTTAAACTCCGATTAACCATTATCACACTGTGATATCCGTTTTGAGATATCCAAATCGTAATCGTATACATGTATATTTTGTATTGAAATATTTCCACATTGTTCAGCAACTGCAGATATAAAGGTGATGTTTTTCATCGTATGTTATACTGCATCTTTTGTTTCGCCCTAACAACGCTAAATCATTTTTAATGGACACTCCATATTTCAATCTGAACAAAACTATTTATCATTTTTGGAAAATTTTAAGATATGCAGTGATTTAAAAACGGCTGATCTAGCTTGGTCTCCACTGGTTGAATGGGTAGTTTGTGTTGCCCGCAAGCTATGTAACTGTTTAAAAGATTTTTTTATTAAATGCATCTTATAACTAAATGATTCCTTAGTTTCAATGATTTCCTTTTACATCTTGTTTTGAATGAATATAATAGTTCAAAGTAAAAAACATACAAAAATAAATGAATGATGATATGAGAATTAAAATCAATACTTGTGACTGGTTTCTTTTAAATCATTATGTGATCAGCAAATGATAGCAGGTGCCATTCTTTCAATTAATCGTAAATGAGTTTGAAGATAATGGTACAACATCCAGTATTCACTGATAAGAGTAAATGAGTACGGAGTGGAAAAATAATCAGGCAAACATAATTTTGTTTTAAAATATAGTTTCTTGTGTTGTAATGACTCTTAGATCACTTGGAATTATATTCTTTTAATATCAAATGAGAAAATTGATATAAAATATCTTATAATTTGATATTTACAAAGTAAAACGTTAAAAGTATTGTATATTTGTTCATATAAAGCAATTAGAACGGAACACGGAATTAAAGTCTATTTTCAATATCTTCCAGAATCACATTACCTGAATGATATTGACTACATAAAAGTAAAGATTTAAGACGAAATACATTTCAGTAAAAATATTGAGTTTCATACGAGGGTAGGTCAACATGTTCTGCAATAAGAAGTATATTTTCTAATCTATTTAATTTATTTAAAGAGTTATACTACAATGGTTAGCTGGTAAGGAGTATATCATATAAAGAAAAAAAAAATAAAAGGAAACATAATATGAGCCGCGTCACGAGAAAACCAACGTCATGCGTTTGCGACCAGCATGGATCAAGACCAGCCTGCGCATCCGCGCAGTCTGATCAGGATCCATGCTGTTCGCTTACAAACCCTATAACAAGTAGAAAAACTGAGCGAACAGCATGGATCCTGATCAGACTGCGCGGATGCGCAGGCTGGTCTGGATCCTTGCTAGTCGCAAACCCATTATGTTGGTTTTGTCGTGACGCGGCGGCTCATAATGTTTCTAGCTCTATATGATTGTAGTTTGATAACTGTGTGTTGTACTGACTCACTCAATCGTTTTATAATTATCCTCTAAACACTTAATATCGCATTATTTTTTATCAAAAGGAAGAAAAATCTATTTCATCTCTTTGTCTTGGTCATTAACAGAACCCGAACCCTTAGAATCATAACACGTTAAAAGCTTTTTCTAATTTGTATATATTTGTTCATGTTAAACAAATTTATTTAGACAATATCTCATTTACATTTTCCTATTAATTTACGTCAAATAAAACAATATCAAGTGACAATTTATAAAAGTAGTTCGTACATTATTTAGTTCGGAAAGGAAAGCAGCAGAGAGTAAATGCTCATTCAACAAAATGAGGAGTTTCATAAAAACGCTAACTATTCAAATAATCATACTTCATTATTTTTTATTGTTTAAGTCTGTTTTTTCGAAAAACAAAATCCGAAATGACGAATTTCTGGAACAATTATTTGACGGATACAGCAAATATATGTTGCCGGTTTTGGACATTGAAAAACCAGTTGACATAAATCTATCTTGGTATCTGATTTCTCTGAATGATGTAGACACAAAACAAAAAACAGTCAGTGCTACTCTTATTCTAGACTTACAATGGATTGATGAATATTTGATATGGAATAATTCAGGGAAATATGATGTGCCCACTAAGTTATCGATTGATTCGAAATCTATTTGGTTACCTGATTTGCACGTTGGAAATAACGAAGGACTCTTAACGTTTTTAACACCAGATGAAATAAAAAACGTTATACTTTTAAGAAATGGACACATTTCAGCATACCCGTATAAAACGTTTGAAGTTGGTGTAGATATAGATATCTATAAATATCCATTTGATACACAAGTAATTGAACTTGAAATAATGCCTTGGACGTATTCCTTACAGGAACTTGTAATAAATGATGTGACGGAGGTTGATGAAAGCAATGCCGTTTTTACACAATTCAGAGGAAATGGAGAATGGAACCTTGCAACCTGGTCTCGGAAAAACTATATCATGTCTTATGAAAACAACAGTTATTCAAAATATTCAGCAGTTAATTATAAATTTACTATAAAGCGAAGATGGTTGTTTACAATTTTAAATTTAGTAGCGCCCGTTGTAATCACATCATTACTGAATCCTCTGTCATTTTTGCTACCTGTTGACAGTGGAGAACGTATATCACTAAGCAATACCGTATTTCTGACATTGGCTGTGTTTTTCACAATTGTGAGCAACTCATTACCTCAAACATCTGAAGGATCACCGATATTTGTCACGTATATTGGTCTACAAATGTTCGGAAGTGTTCTGACAATTGCGTTTACGATTATAAGTCTGGCATGTTATTATAGCGACAATGACCTTAGACAAAACAATGCACTACTTCGTGTCCTGTTTTATATATGTGGTAAAGCTAAAACCGAAAAAGGCGCTGAATCTAATCCTGAAAACCTGGAAAAGTATGATTCTGAGCATTCACATAGTTGGGAAATAGGAAAAATGTGTTCTAAAAGGATTGATAGAGTGTGTTTTTGGATGTCTCTTCTCTGGAATGTTTTTCTCTTATCCATCACAATAATAATAGCAGTATCTTAGTAAGACCTATGTTATCTTTATAACTTCTTAAATTAGTAAAGCAGTCTACAACCTAACGGCATTTCATTAAGAAATACAAGAATTCCATTTTATCATCAATCTTTTGAACTACAAGCATTTGCTTTATACACTATACAAACAATACTTCTGCATATTTTTGCATTTCTATTTTGTTCTTTGTATTCCTTTATAGGTTTTATTTGATAGTATAACATAGGTGTCGTGCCGACAAAAATTGAAAAAACACAATAAACTTTGTCCTTCGACTGGCATGAAAGGTTTGAATTTTCTGCATGACAACGCTCCTGCACACAATGAAGCTATAAGTAATTTTTGTTGGAGAAAATCAGTAACTGTCCTTCCAAATCCATCGTTTTCTCCAGACATGGGACCCTGTGACTTTTCGCTCTTTCTTAGACTGAAGAAAATACATATTGTAGATCATTGCTGCTACAACAGCAGAAATGGAATTGGATCGGCAATTTTTCAATTATTGAAAAGTTTACCTAAGATGGTCCATGTTGTTCCATTCAAAATAAGATTTTGTCGTCTGAAACTCTGTATTTCAATGCGGAGAGATAATTTCGAAAATCGAAAGGTTGAAATAGAAATTTGTACAATATATTTGCTTTTTTAATATAATTATTGACCGTATTGAAAAATAAATTAGTGACCCACCATTGTAAAGCGACTGCGAATACTTCAAATAGTTTAATTTCAGTATTTTATGTGTTGAATCTGTTTCTTCAAAATACTTAAAGCAATGGAGAATGTCTGGAAGAATTGATTGAAGAATACAGTAAATGCATTGTGCCGGTTTTGGACATTTTATGCCCTTACCATGAATTTTTTGTATACATTCACAAATGTTGTGTAAATCCGATGAACAGAAATATGTAATTTAAATGTTGTTATTCATTGTATAGTACGTTACGTATTTTCATCTTTTGAAAGCCAATGTACAAAAAATAGATGCACATTCAAAAAAATATGCAAATAGATGCTGTTTTGACTAAACAAGATAAAAGTCCAATTGATAACTAACAATGCATACATTTCTTGCATGAAGACATATAACACGTATGTTAAATGTATGTGGTGTGGAGGGTCTATAATTTGAAATTTCGTGTTGCACAAGAGTGTGTGCCTCACACTTAACTTCTGTTGAGTATATAAACGACCCAGAATGAAACGGAAAGACTAATATAGTTGATAAACGACTGAAATGATGTTTGAGATATTGATATATATTGTGGTATATTTGTAGTTGTTTTGTTTGTTTGTTTGTTTTCTGTTGTTGTTTTTGGCCTGTTTAAATTTGAGGTCAATAGACTTGGAATCTTATTGAATTATATCTTTGCCGCAATTAAAACTGTCACAAGTGCTTATGGGGCTACAAATTATAATTATACCAATAAGTTACTAAAAATGACTAAGATATTTGATAATGATGTCAAAGTAAAAATAGTATGAATCAGACACAGAAAAATTAATCTAATGTACGAAAAATAAGATAATTAAAAGTTTACATCAATAAATTTTTCTATTTATTGCTGATGAATATTGTGTTACGCACCTTAATAATTATTTATTGGCTACTTGAGTGACTATTTAGCGCATACATTTATTGATAAATATTTATGACAATTGTCAAATACATTTTAGTATAATGGCTACCAGTAAGTCATAATTGCCATCAATTATGGACTTTGGTTTCACTTAGTTTTTATGAATAGTTTATATTACAATGCTATTCATTCTGGCCAATGTTTCGTGCTTTTGTTTGGATCTTTTTATTTACTTTGTCCAATACTATCAATTTTCCATTAAAAATTTTAAAAGAAAAGTAATCAATACATTTCTATTCATTTAAATCATAGTACCAAAACAATATTGCTAGAGAGACTCGGACATTAAACAACACTTAAAACATTTCGATTTGATATTTCAACCTTCATTGACAACATTGATCATGTACAATTAGTTGGCAGTCATAAAGCAAATATATAAAATGACTTTTAGTACTTAAATATGTTCCATTATGATACATGGATAATTTATTAAGTACCAGAAAGCAAAAGTATATACATTTGTATATGAAAAGCATTAAGATATCAAGTTCTTTCATTTAGTAATCATTTTGGAAACATTATCTGAACGTTTTTTGTTGTTGTTTTTGTTGTTGTTGTTGTTGTTGTTGTGTTGAAGTTTTTTGTGTTGTTTTTTTTTTCAAGATACGTTTTAAGTCATGTTGTTACTTACTACCATCTTTCAAACAATTTTATTAAATGGATTGTCATGTCATCAGGAATCAGCACCATATACAGGTGTGAACAATGCACAATTTATCAAGAATCTATTTGATGGATACAGCGTAAATGTTCTACCGGTTGTGAATATTGATAGACCGGTTACAATAAGTCAGCATCTATACCATATGTCTATAGATAATATTGACATGAAAAGTAAGATTGTAAGCACTCGTATTGTATTAGGTCTAGAATGGATTGACGAATATTTGAAGTGGAATCCTTCGGACTTTAGAAACATTTCAAAGTTTTCAATGCAAGCAAGTTCAATATGGTTACCAGATTTGTATGCAGGTAATTCAGATAAATTGCTAACATTCATCAGAGCAGAGGACATAAAAGAAGTGTTTTTGAGCAGCAATGGTAAAATTGAAGCTTGGTCGTATCTGCAAATTGAAATTGGAATTTCATTAGACATTTACAAATATCCCTTCGATACACAGATATGTGATTTTGAGTTTATTTCTTGGATACATAGCAATAGCCGTATAGACCTATATGACATACATGAATCCGAAAATACAGACCCGTCCAAATTGTCCAGACAAAATGGAGAGTGGGACATGATTAAAGTGGACAGGTATAGATTTAACAAAACCTATGACAACTATGTGACTAACTTTACGATGATACGGTATAGAATTACATTACGACGTAAATGGCAGTACACCATTTGGAACTTAATAGCACCAGTTGTGTTGACATCATTACTTAATCCTTTGTCATTCTTGCTTCCCGTTGAGAGCGGTGAAAGAATATCACTAAGCAATACCGTATTTCTGACATTGGCTGTATTCTTCTCTATCGTAAACGATTCTCTCCCAAAGACATCCGAAGAAGTTCCAATTCTTGTTGCGTATATTGGCCTGCAAATGCTAGGAAGTGTGCTTACCATTATGTTTACAATATTCAGCCTGGCACTTTACCACAACAATCGAAACATTGATCAATCAAGCATTTGGAGCCTTATCTTCGGTAAAAGGGGTCAGAAGAAGGATGTGAGTCATGAAGAGGTAAACGGTGCAGCTGATATGGGCAAAATAATGGGCACTCAACAAGAATGTGATAACAGAGATGCTTGGACCAAAGTGTCAAATATTTTCGATAAAGCATGCTTTTGGCTGTCATTGGCATGGAATATCATTCTGCTGGCAATAGTATTTATAGAAGTAAATGCAGATTGATATTTGACTTTTTAAGAACATGTAAGTTTTATCTATTTTCTTCATATAGACCTGTATTAATCGTTTACAATATGTGAGTGAATCTGTTTTCATCATTTTACTTTACAAGCTTACTAAGTATGTTAAACATGAAGTTGACTAAATTCTACAAATACATGTTGAAGATAAGATTTTTTTGAAAATATATGATACACGTTATTAATCAAATGTAATTTTTTGTTTTCTCTATGTGTTCAATCAATAGAACTTGAAATATTATTTGAGTGAATCTATTCTTATCATTTTTCTTCACAAACTTAGTTCATGAACATGATGTACTTAAACGTGAAGTTGACTAATTTCCATATAGATTTATTGAAGATAAGAATGTTTTATTCTGCAAATATATAAAACTCTGTATTAATATACATGTAATCATTTGTTCTATGATGGTTTAAAGACAATAAAATTTTAAACATGCTCGTTGTATTTATTTTCTTGAGATGAAGTGTTTTATCGATCAGAATGACTTTTCCATGAATTAATCATTTTGTAACTTATGGTGCATTACATTTTGAAACATCACTTTTTTAAAAACCGGACAATCAGCGGAAACGAGCATAATTATATGAATATTTATGTTTTTTTTTCTTCTGGTGGTGAACAAATTTGATTCCATATAGATAGGTGTTAGTTATATACTTTGCCCGCAGTCCATACCGTGCGGTAATACCGTCTGTACCTGGGTTTTGAAATATTCATCCTCACCATACAAAATTAAAATATTCTAGCTTAAAATCAAATTCATGCATATGGATAGTTATTTTTCTAAATAACTGTTTCGATAATATATTTATATAATCAGAAAATGGTCGCACCTTTAAGAAAGAGATTTTGAATTTAAATTAGTAAAACATGAGACATCAGGTACGTTTCACTTCAAGCGCAATTTGTTAGATTGTAGTTTCTGTTAAAGACTTATTTGTTAAAGTGACATTATGACCACATTTTCATTGTCAAGATGAGCTGATTAACTATATATTTCAAAATATTGACTGTTATAATGTGACTGAATAAACAATTGCTTATGAAAAATGTTTAGGATAAAATATAAATCTGCCTAAAAGACTCCCACTCCATTTTTACTTCTCATCCTACCGCTATTTACACGTAGTTATCAAATTTGTCAAAACATGTTTGCACTTTTCCCAAAATATAGGAATTGCGCTGCATTTTGCTATGTTTGGTTTGGGTTTACGGTGCACCAACACAATTTATCTTATATGGTGCCAGAATAGAGAAAAAAATAAATCCCCAAAGAAAGCCTAACACGGCAAAATTGAAAATGTTGCAGGCTCCGTTTGATTGAGCCTGTTAATGGGGACGGAACTGTCAAGTGCAAATTACCGTCCATGCCCTCTAGCACCGGCTTAAGTAGAATTCAACATTTAAACATGAAAAGGTATAATTTTGAATTTACAAACTTTCGCAGATGTGTTCATACGGCGGTCATCATGGAACCTTCAATGTGACACAGTAGTGCAATTCTATGAAAAGCGGCGTATGGTCCCCAAATTATAAAAAGCGTTGTGCCCTAAACGAGAAAACAATGGGTGGACCGAAACAAAATGGAATTATGAAAGATGAGTTTGGCTAACCTAGAGTGTAACAAACTTAAAGCAACACCTGGGGTCAAAACCATTTTCATCTACAGGAGCTAAGAGATACCTAGACTCAAGGAATTCGAACTCATTTAGTCGCCTCTTACGATCACGCCGGATCAAGGGTGCTCTGTATTTTAAGTTGAACTTCGTTAAAGAGTTACGCTGTTGTTAGGTACATCATATATCATCAATTATATCGTGCCATAAAACCTATCAAATATCTTAATTTATAACTAATTTTACAACAACATTCACACTATTTCTATTTATCTTAGAAAAGTATCGATGTGAGCGGCGTTCACCGACTGTTAAACACCGCATTGGAGTTTTGATGCTAGAAATTGACAACTCAGGTCGTAGGCATGTTTGCATGAAAACAGCAACTTTTCTGTGTCGTGAAATTGCCCAACGTCCGCTTATTGCCAGTTAAACTTTGCGGTCAACGATCGAGTGGGCAAACAAGTGATTAGAAATGTTTAATGATATAAATTGATAAATTTGATAAACAAGGTTAGAAGTATTAAAAACTGGAGAAAACAAATATATCAAAAATATGTACTTACTCAGTAATTGTAAAGTGTCGAAGGGTTTTCACATTTTCTTCATTTCTTTACTACAACAAGAACAAACAACAATTACCTAATATTATAAAAAATAAACTAAAAAAGCACATGTTATATATTTTCAAACATACAAACATTTGAACAAACAACAACATATTTTAATAATTTCGGTTCTACTACTACAACAACAACAAACAACAATTTTTCAATATATAACAAACATAAAAAAGCGCTAGTAACTTATATATTTTTAAACATACAAAATTTGAGATTTAAAATAATACAACACATCTGTATAATCAATTTTTGTTTCATAAAAATCAACACAAAATATCAACAAAATTGCGATACATTGACTTTATTCACTTAAAGCGGAAATGATTTGTGTTTTATATATTATGTCCCTTGGCGATGAATATTGTTCATTCAGAATTGCAACCAAATAAATATTTAACTAATCAGTCATGTACATAATATTAAAACACGAATTTTAGTTTATTTTAAAAGTCACAACTTTCGTGTTTGGATGTTTCCCTCCTCGCAATTAAATATACAATGCGGAATGAAAGTAAGTGTCATTTTGTTTTTTGATTTTGACAATTTGTAAAATTCTTTTGAATCATATTCTTATTTCTGTTTAATGAATTTGAGACCATATATACAAAAATCACATATGATAAATTTAGTAAATAGGATAAAAGATCACATATGATATATATAATAGAGGATAAAAAGATCACATATGATGAATTTAGTAAATAGGATAAAACGATCACATATGATGAATATAGTAAATATGAGAAAAGATCACACATGATGAATATAGTAGCTAGGATAAAACGATCACATATGATGAATAAAATAGATACGATAAAACGATCGCATATGATGAATTTAGTAAATAGAATAAAAGATCACATATGATGAATATAGTAGAAAGGATAAAACGATCACATATGATGAATATAGTAGATAGGATAAAACGATCACATATGATGAATAAAGTAGATAGGATAAAGATCCAGATGGTGAATATAGTAGAGGATAAAAAGATCACATATGATGAATTTAGTAAATAGAATAAAAGATCACAATCATATGATTGATATAGTAGATAGGATAAAACGATCCAGATGATGAATATAGTAGAGGATAAAAGGATCACATATGATGAATATAGTAAATAGGATTAAACGATCACATAAGATAAGATAAAAAAGTCATATATAATTTAATTTAATCTAATTTATATACCATATTAAACGCATACTTTGACCCTCATTTAGTGTAATACCCTCTTTCGTTCAAGTTTATATGAAGTAAGGTTTATTGACTTCCAATAGTTTGAGTGTTGAAAACTGAATATCGCTTAAGTCGGTGCTGGCGGGGGTCGAGAGATGTTGTCCATTGTATTATCTCTCATGAACATACTCTGCAAATGTCACATTAGTTGCTTTGTTTTCATTGTTTTCAACAACAACAACAACATTTATTCAGCATAAAGTAGTATCTTACATCACTTCTAGCCTACATTTTAACATAAGTAGTATTTACACATCAAATACAAACACTTCAAGTTCTAAGACAAAAGAAAAGTCACAATAAATCAAGAACAGTAATTTAAGAGCAAAACCTGTTTTGTGAATTTTGTGAAAACCTGTTTTTTTTCAGAATTGGAATAAATGATTATATATTAAGTTCAAAATGTAAAACAGTGAAGTAAAATGTATGAAGCAATAAATATGTTCAAGCAAAACTATGGGAAAGCTGATAATTAATTAATCAAGTTCTTTTCGAGGGATCTCCCTTTTGTCGGATTTTTGACCACACCCTTATGTACAAAATGTTGGCTGCTGAGTATTATTAAAATATAAATTTTGAAACAAGACATTTGTTCAGTTGGTATTTTGTTTTTAGTAACATTCAACCCTAATGGAGTTTACTCTATCCGAATATTGGAAAAGAATCATTTTTTCTTGTACTTAATCATAAGAATATACCACTAAATGGACTAGATATGTATACGTGTTCAAATAATAATACGGCCCTGTATCAGGCTGTATGGCTGCGACCCTACCTATCCCTATATCCTGTGGAAAATCGGCGAGGAATTCCGAATAAAAGAGCTTGCTTTTTGTTACCATATAGAAACATGAATCAAGAATAACCAACGGTTTCAGTGATGGTCACATGGTAAAAATTGTGCAATTTAATCATGTATTTAGCATGCAGGGAAGATTTAGATGTTAGTCAAAACTACTCATCATACCTCTTTACAGGAGCAAGACAATATTGAAATGCATATCTAATATTACACGAAGAAATCCTCGAGGACATGTCAATGGCCACGCCCATTGTATTAGTCACCACTAACTACGGTGAATTTTTTTCCTTAATCTAAAATCAAGCATCCTCTTTAATTTATTCACATTGGAGAAACTACTTGTTCCTTCTCCTGATAAACATGTTACACTAGTAGTCAATGTGCCTGTTTCTCAAACCAGGGATCGTGGGTTTGAGCCCTTCTCGGGTATTGACTATGAAATGACACCAGTATTAACTATCTGGAGTTAATACTATCAGTATTAACTATTAACTATAAGGTGATCCCTCGAAAGCCTTAATCACAACAAAATTACATGAAAATTGCAGACACAGATTCGGTTTGATTAAGTCTGTACATGAGGGATAATGATGATTGTATGAATTTGGTACTAAAACGATTATAAGTGATTCATGAGTAGTCAATCGATAATCTATATGGTACTCAAATCAATATAATAAGTGGTTCTTAAACCGATACTAGTAATATGCGGTACTTAAATCTATAATATCTGACTCCTGGGTATTAAATCGATTATATATTTTGTGTTATTAATACCAAAAATAAGTACTTCTTAAATCTATAATATGTGGTACTAAAAACGATGATAAATGATTCGTGAGTATTAAATCGATAATCCATGGTACTTAAATCGATAATAAGTTGTTCCAAAATCGACGATATGCGGTACTAGGATAATAAGTGAATCGAATCGATATGTCGTGAACTCAATTATTTTTAGTACAATACTGGGTACCAGTTAACACCACATATATAGTTGTTACTTAAGTCTGTGGAGAAGTATTTTCCGTTCCCCCCCCCCCCCAACAGAAACCGTTCAAACATCTGACAAAATATTGCAACAAAATATTGCAAAGGGAGCGGTGGCCAAGTGCCTTTCAACCCAGCGATCATGGGTTCGAGCCCTAATCAGGTCACGACTATGTTGTTCTTCATATGACACCAGTACATGGTTGGTTCCAGGAAGCGGACTCGACAATGATTAATATAAGTTGCAAGAACTTCTTTCGCAATCGTGCTTTAAATAAATGTGTCTGAACCAAAATATTACACATACATGATAACTAATGACTTATGTTCGATATATTAGACATGTTTTCATAATAATATATATTATATAATATTTTTTCTTATTTAAGTGAGACAAGTTTTAGAAACTGCATATTTTTTTTTCTGTACCACAACCTCTATTTATGTCTGTCTTTCCGGAAAAACGCGAAATATTATATACCACATTACAAATAGTTTATCAACTTTTTATTAAATCAACTTCTGTACCCTTAAGGTATATGTAAAACAACTTACCACAACTTAAAAGTTATTTTTCTTCAACGTGACAAAACGAGGGAAACATCCAAACACGGAGGTTGTGACTTAATATAGGAAACTTTTCGAACGGAATTATCTTATGTATATTTGTTGTTGTTGTTGTTGTTTTACAAACACAAGATTGTTCAATCTTTTAAAAACATGCAGGTATGTCTTCAAATATTTGAGAAATCTTCCAGTTATGAAAACAGATCTTATATTTACTGGAAAGAATTATTCAACAATAAGAGTCATGCAGTCTGTTGTTGTTGGTGGTGGTGTTTATTCTTTTGTTGTTTTGTTGTGTTTTTTTGTTGTTGTTGTTGTTGTTGTTGTTGTTGTTTTCGGTTGTTGTTTCTTTTCATGATTCAGATTTTTACAAAGTAATGGCTAGAGATATTAGGAATGTAGAATGCACATGCCATGTATGCATCAACAAACTATGAATTAGATAATGATTATGAAACATAAAAAATAATTCTAAATCGTTTCATTTTAACAAGTATTGGGTGCCAATTTAAATATTAGTGTATCGATTTTTTTATGAAAGTGCGATGTCGTACGATAATATTATACGGTTTAGAATTCAAACATTTAACCACATATGACGTATGCCCACTCCTGACCAAAGCATGCTATATTTCAAGGGAAAGCGGTGATTTGAAGGGTATTAAAAAATGATAAAAAGTCATAATTTTTTTTGAGGTAACATATTAAGATATAGCATCGTATAAAATACAAATAACGTAAATTTTGAATATGACCTTCTAAACAAAAACAAATATAACTATTACAAAGAGTTAATTTTTATTACAGCATCACATGATTATGTTCTTTGACAAACACTCATTTTAAGTAATAAATACTTTAATACAAATTACATTTACTTTATTATATTATATTATTATACATCAGAAACGAATAGATTTTTCTCTTTTTTTTTAGAAAGGGCAAACATGAGTTTATAGAGTTTAAATAATTATTATGGCACATGTGTCAGATGCTTATCAACTGAAGATAGTAATGCTTAATGTAATTTAATACTTTATTGGAAAGTACGAAAATGTAAACAAAATAATATTTTGACTTCCCTACAAAATACTGAATCAATGTAACTTTACTAAATGCAAACAAGCAACTGAAGAAAAGGGTGGTTTAGATGAATTGCCAATGCGTATCTTTTGTCAAACTATAACCACTGATAACAGGGCAACAAAAATTATAAAAGATTTTTGGAAATAAAGATACTAATCATTTCAGAGGCAATACAATAATTGTTCCATTCTGTCTGTAAAAGAAATAAGAATTCGTCACAAGAATGCGATTTTTGAGTTACATTTTGAACCAAAACAATGAATTATCTATACATGCTATAAGAACACCTATAAATTTTCGTATCTTCGTATTTTCTTTTTTCTTATACATGTAGATAATTCATTACTCGTAAAATAATTAGTTTTTTTTTTGTTTCGGTCATATAATGCATGGTGTTACGTATATAACAACATTTATTTTGTTTATTAATTGTTTAATTTGTTGAAGTTTGTACCACATTCAATCGTGCTATACCTACTGTTAAGATTGGATTACTGCCCATTCTTTTCATAATTGAATTACTGCCCATTCGAAAGGCAGGACATTTGCAAATTTGTGACGTGAAAAAAGTCATTATTTGTACATAACGATCCGGGTGACACTATTCTTATGTAAATACATGACGGTTTAGAGTTGGAGAAAAGAGCTTCACTTAACTTAAAAGGCAACATAATTAGCCTTGCTATTTAGAAAGGTATAAAAAGCCCAACGTCACACTTTGACTTTGAGGTTGAGCTCAGGTTCGTTAGTCTTGATAAATGCTAGTATTCATAAGAAATTTCAAATAAATCGCTTTTATTACAATTATTTTTGTTTAACAATTTTTTTCAGGTTCGCAGAAAAAATTCCAGTAGTCTAATTGACAAATTGGTAAAATGGACAGGATTTGTTCTACTTATTACTTCAACCTCACTCCCAACTATAGAAACAAGTAGGTAGTTTTTTGATATTGTTAACAATACACATGAATCTATCTTGTGTTGATTTAAAAAAGGTATTGTTACAGTCATGTCGTGTTGCCATCAGCAAACTTCTACCTTGATCATAACTTTTTCAGTTTTCATATTTGGCCACAACAACTCTTCGAACAAGACCTTCAAGTAGACCAAACTAACTTTGACCTTTATTCATAAAAGACCTTGACCTTCAAGGACAGCCGTCTAAATTTTGCTTTTTTGTTGAATTTTGCTCTAAGTGACTTAAACTTTGTTATTTTTGAATAGATTGTCTTCAAACTTGAACATGATAATCTTTTAGGAGAGACCTTAAGGTTAACCAGACATAAATTTACCTTCAGACATAAATTACCTTGAAGGTCAAATTATTGAAAATTTCTTCTTTTCTTTTTTTTTGCTGTAACTGGTTATATATTACTTTGTAGTTGATAAATGGATTGGTTTCATATTATAATAGAATATTTTTAGGCTAATACCTTCATGTATATTGAACTCAAATTGACCTTGGCTCTTTTATGACCTTGACCTTGAAGGTTAAATTATTGATTTTTCACTGATTTGCTATAATTGACTGTCACTTGGTATTAAATTAATAAATTAACATTTTGGACAATTCTAATAGGTTGAACTGACCTTGAACTTAAAATGATCTTGACAGTCAAGGTCAAACTATTGAATTTGGTAAAATTGTTTTTGTTATTTGTGTACAAATTTGATTGGTACTTGGACAAAAAAAGACTTGCTACCAAACAACATATTGAATAATTTAGATGTTTACCTTGACCTTAAATTGTCCATGACTGTCAAGGTTAAATTAATAAAATTCTCTTGTTTTTTACTGTAACTGGCTGTAATTTTGTTATTTAGACTATAGATATAAAATAGATTAACTTCATATTTAGACACAACATCTTTTAGGCAAGGAACGAACTTCATGTATATCAAACTCTAACTGACCTTGACTCATGTAAGACCTTGACCTTGAAGGTCAGATTATTAAATTTTCAATGAGTATTTATAATTGACTGTAACTTGGTAATTAATCAATGGATTATTTCCAAAACAAACTTTTGAACAAGACCTGGCCTAATATAACAGGGCTGCAGATAACATGCGTATTTGCGTAATTACCCAATTAAAATGTCAAAAAAAGCAATAGAAATAATAACTAAGGGTAAGAAAAAGTAAATAAATTCTTATTTATGCAAACTACATTGGAACTGGTGGGTAAAGACATAAGTTATACTTAATGCTGTACATCAGGCAGATCATACTGTTTCAGACTGTTTTAACCTTTAAATCATATCAGGCAGCTTGGAAATCTCCTAGGCCAATAAACCATAAAGCATAGTAGTAAGTAGCTTTTTTATTACCATACAAAACCTACAACAGTCTACAATGAAGGTCAGAAATTTTGGGTAAAATACATGAACATTTGCTTTAAAACCCAAATTGGTTAGAGAGGGTAGGGTAAAAAATACAGAAATAACTCTAAGAAAATAGAAAAAACCCAAAAGATCACAAAACAAGGGGTGATCACCCAATATACACAAAATGTTATCTGTAGCCCTGATATAAAATTTAATTTGTTTCCCCTTCCCTACCTACCCAACAAATTTGCCCCTACCCAAAAGATTTTTTCATGTTCTTAGGGGATGAAAGTGTTTTTTTCTTTCAGAGTACAATAGGTACAATCTAATCTGATAATTTAGACAGCTGGCATAGTTAATAAATTGTTGCATATGTCAGTTGTGAATATGGTAATGCATGTACATATACTATTGCACTTAATAGATTTATTTTGATTCATGATACATAATGCAGATTATTTATTATCATGAACATATAAATTTTTTTTTTCCTTCCTACATGTACCTACCCAACTCTAATTTTAATGGATCGGGAAGGTAAAACAGACATAATTTTATTTTTGGCCCTTTCTAAAAGGCTTAACAGACCTTGAGCTTTAAATGACCTTGACCATCAAGGTCAAAGTATTGAATTTTGGTTAAGTTGCCCTAAATTTGTTGTACAGATTTGATTCATACATTGACAAAACAACACTAGTGACCAAAAAGATATATGAAATAATTTAGATATGACCTTGACCTTTAAATGACCTTGACCATCAAATGATTGAATTTTGATATTTTCTTAATTTTGTCAATTTTGTCATTTATTTGTGGAAAGCATTCACACTTGGACAAAACAACAATAAAATTGAGCATAGCAATAGTGTTCATTCTGTAACAATAGAGGAAGGGGCTAATGGCCCTCTGTTAAACAAAAGAAAAGAACAATAGAAATGGCTCTTAATACCAGTTTGGTAGCTCATCAATTTGTTTTGCAATTTCGTTTTTGCTCAGTATCTTTTGAACCAACTGAAGGAAACTGAAATTACTCGATACGGAAAAATGTTAACCATAATAAGATATGTGCAGAGCATAGGTTTGACTTTGCTCAGGTCAAATTTAAGATTTTAAGGCAGTATCTATTCCATGTATTACTATTATATTTCAGCCCCAGTATGTTACGGCAAGGTCGACATTGTGTTTACAGTAGATGCATCATATAGTATTGTTGATCAAAACTTTGATAAAGTGCGGGAGTTTTTGCTGAACTTATGTGCAAAAATGCAGGTGGATTTAGGGGAGGAACTGCGCGCCGGACTCATCTTCTATGCAACATCGCCTTATACTGGGGAAAACATGGTCTCTCTTAATGACGATCAAAGCAAAATTGCAAAACTTTTACAGACTTTCCAACGTGTAAGTTTTAGTTTTCTTTGGCAAACATGTGTCAAATATTAACAACATTTATAATCTATTGTTTGTAAGGCTGCAGACTTTGAATTACTCGTCTTGTTCTTTGGTCACTATGTTCAAAATTGCACCAAGACCTTTGATTGCAAAAAATATATGAGCTAGCTATCACTCTGTTAAGTCTAAAAGAGGTTGATGGCTCTACTCTTGATTTTGCCCCTTGTGGCTGAGGGTTTGCCGTTATTGGTTGAGGCCTCAGAATTGCCGCAACTGTTTAATGCTGTGTGATCATAAGAGGCAACTAAATGGGTTTGAAATATTTGAGTCTATGCATCTCTTAGCTCAAGCAGGTGATGTGGTTGTGACACCTGGTGTTGTTTTAAGTTTTTAACATCCGAGGTTAGCCAAAATTATCTCTCCTGCTTCGGCCCAATATGACCTAAATTGTGTTATAACCAAACCAAAACCAAACTCTTGATGTTTTTCTCAACTACATTTTGATATGTTTATCAATTTTATTTGTCAAATAAAAATTTTTTCATCCTCTTTTTGGATAAAATATTTTGTAACCTTTAAGGATGCTTTCTATTTTGTGGAGGTGATCAAAGCTGAAAATTGAAAAATTAACCCCCCCAACCCCCCAGTGACTTGATATTTTATGAGAATGAGAGAGTCCCAGGCATTTTTTGCTGCACATAATGGAATACTTTATAATAGTTATATATTTAAAATGATGTACATAATTATTCCTGTTTATTAGCTTTTTGGAATACAAGATAAACTGCAATGACATTTAGTATACAGTCTGACAGTAAATAAACTACCACTTGCCCATACTTATATAATTATATGTTTTGGATTGTTTTCGGGCACTGGTTTCTTGGCTTTAGTCAAAAATACACTGGCATAGTAAAGAAAAAGTCTTGTATTGTCTGATATTTCCAGGTGAAGAGTAATATTAAAACATTTACGGGAGAAGCTCTAGGGGTAGCACATGATATGTTTGCAAACCATGCCCGCGATGATGCATATAAGATACTTATTCTTATCACTGACGGTAAGTAAATTCCTTGATATATAAGGTAATAGAGTAATGAATAATATTGACAAATAAGCCTTAATTGCTTTTGTTTTTTGTTAAAGTCAGATTTTGTGACTGACACAGGTTTTAAGAGATTGCATCTGAAAAAATCTTTTATCACATGATCCGTGCCGATTTCACGACTCCGTAAAAAAATGGTATTGTACGGCCGTGCATATATTTTGACGTGATGTCATTAGCATTATACAAACATAGTGTAAAGACGCACTAAACGTTAGCGTTAATCTATAGGCGCGTCAATAAAAAATGACCCTTTTTCACTTTAGACGGTCTTTATTGTGCCCCCACGTTAGTGGCGGGCATTTAGATTTACCCTTGTCCGTCCGTCCGTCCGTCCGTCCTTTCGTCCGTCCGTCCATCCGTTCACTTTTGTGTCGCACGTAACTCAAAAAGTATTTGACCTAGAGTCATGAAACTTTACAGGAATGTTGATCAGCATGTGTAGTTGTGCACCTGGGTATTTTCGTCTGGATATTTTTAGTATTTTCAGAGTTATTGCCCTTGACTTAGTAAAATTTTGCAATTTTCAACTTGTGTCGCATGTAACTCAAAAAGTATTTGACCTAGAGTCATGAAACTTTACAGGAATGTTGATCAGCATGTGTAGTTGTGCACCTGGGTATTTTCATGTGGATATTTTTAGTATTTTCAGAGTTATTGCCCTTGACTTAGTAAAATTTTGCAATTTTCAACTTGTGTCGCATGTAACTCAAAAAGTATTTGACCTAGTGTCATGAAACTTTACAGGAATGTTAATCAGCATGTGTAGTTGTGCACCTGGGTATTTTCGTCTGGATATTTTTAGTATTTTTGGAGTTATTGCCCTTGACTTAGTAAAATTTTGCAATTTTCAACTTGTGTCGCATGTAACTCCAAAAGTATTTGACCTAGAGTCATGAAACTTTACAGGAATGTTGATCAGCATGTGTTGTTGTGCACCAGGTATTTTCGTCGTGATTTATTTAGTATTTTTAGAGTTATTGCCCTTCACTTAGAATTTTTTTGCAATTTTCAACTTGTGTCGCAAGTTACTCAAAAAAGGATTTTACATAGTCATTAAACCTTATGGGTAGCTTGCTCAGCATATTTAGATTTGCACCTGGGGTTTCGCTTGTGGATTTATCCAGTATTTGTAGAGTTATTTCCCTTGACTTAGTAAAAAGATTGACAGAACAGTGGCGCGGTGGGGGCACCCGTGTCCTATGGACACATTTCTAGTTTTGGGTATGTGATAAATAGAATATTAAATTCATGTAAGTTCATTACTGAATTTATTGAACTTGTTGAATAAAATAATATTATGCTCGCCAGAGGCTCGCATAATATAATTTTATTCAAATGTGCAGTAAATTCAGTATTGAACTTACACTCATTTAATATCCTCTATTTAATATTTGTTTCAAAAATGAAGATTTTGAATAACAGGATTTTTTAAAACTTCAATAATCAAATATAATGAAATTGATATGATAATTTAAATGAAGGGTCACTGGCAAAGTGGTAATGGTCACTGAATCCAAATTACTGCTTCTCTCTTGTGAGTTAGAATCTTTCAGAAACTTTGCATTTTGTCACTGTGTCATGTGACTAAACTTAGCATGATTTAGGTAATTTATGGCAGATTGTGGTTCTATTATGGTGCCATCTTTGTGCCTAAAATTATACAATAACGGGCACCTTTTGTCTTTCCCAACTAGTAAAGTAGGAAAGTAACCATATGATCTAAATAGAGATGAAATAAACAGCTTTTAAAGAACAGCAATTATATCTTTATTTGACATGTTCATTCAGATGTGTTCTCTAAAAAGGGTGTAATTAAGTGTATGTAAATTTTACTTTTTGGCTTTACTTTTTAGGCTTTGCTTTTAAAATGTGACTAAATGGCTGGTGAAATTTAAAGAAGTTCTCTGTTTTTCATCACAAACAATGTTCAGATATTTAAAGGTGATCTCAATGCCATGTATTACCTTATTTTTTTCAGGCGAGGCAAATGATAGAGCTGTGGCATATGCAAATGCTGATAGAATCAAAGCACTGGGAGTTCATATCTTGGCGATAGGGATAGGTTTTGACGGGGAGAAGGTCAATCGAGCAGAGTTGAATTATATCGCATCAAGAGTTGAATCTGTTTACATCGTCACTTCAATCACTGCAGATTTTATGATGAGTGTACAGATGGACGTCTGTGGACGTAAGTACTATTACATTAATTTCTAGCTCGACTAAAGAAAAGGGAGAGCTATTGTACTGACCCAAGGGTCAGCTTCACACTTTGGTAAAGTTTTTGCATGCGAGTCGGTATCTCCAAAAATACTAAAGGGAATAGGTTGAAACTTCACATACTTTTTCTCTGTGATTATCTAAATTGATGGGAATAGGTTTCGTTTCCGTAACTCTCAGTTACCTATTCACAGAGTTATGCCCCTTTTCTGAATGTCAAGCACTTAGAATAGTAGACTACACTGTCCTCAGCTCTTGCCCTTTAAGCGTTTTTAAGACATATGGACACTTTTAAGTGTTATTTGGTAGCTTCCAGCTCTTTATGGAGACAAACCCATTTTGTGTATTATTTTATTAGTCCAGATACATGTGTGAATCTAGTTACCTTGTCCTAATATAGCTGGATTACTTCTTCCTATGAAGTCACTCAATGTGTCAATAGTAAGATTTTTAACTTTGAGCTGCTTGCCAGGGATTAACAGTTTTCATCTAATCAAACACTTATTTGGCCATAGATGCCCAGATGCCTTATTTACTATACATGTTTCTACCGATGTCTGTTTGTTGTGAATCTCACTTGTTGTTTTTAAATTCTGCCATGTAAGTAATCTAGGGCATGTGTAGCAGATTGGTTAAGGTTGTTGACTTCAAACTACTTGCCTCTCATAGATGTGGGTTCAAATCCCACAAGGGACTTTGGATATTTTTCAGGTGAGGAAGCAATCAAACATGCCAACAGAAAGTTGGTGGTTCTACCTTGGTGCCTGTTTGTATACCTGAAATAATGCACAAGTAAAGCTAGAAACCATATGACCTTTACTCTGTTGGTGCTATGTAAAACCCTGTCTCCCAAAATAAACCTTCAGGTGGGACTCTATGTACAGAGCAACCCCTGATTTTGTTTGTAGAACTTCATAAATTATATAATAATGATGAAGAACATATCATAACAGCATATTGATACAAGTAAAAGATATTTTTTGTTTGATTGAATTTTTTTTTTAAAAAACCCAAAAGAAATAATTTCTAATTATATTGTTCCAATATAAAGCTTAAGCAAATGTGAAATCAAAAATCTAAACATATACTTTTAACACAATTTGTTTTGGTAAGGGGAAACCATTCTGGAACACTATAACAATATGGTATGCAGAGTTGTGTGTCTGGAACTGAAAAAACATTTTTTTGCTGTGAAAATTTATCCTGTATTTGTATTAACACTATCCTGCCCTTCATCTCTGAGAAATACATGTACTGTTTTGTCTTAAGGATTACAGATACTAATGAACATGATGACATATTAAATTCTTATCAAGTAATGATGTCCCAGTAGAAAACACCTTCTTACATGACAAAAAGTAAACTAATATTAGGTATCCAAAAACTGCCAAAACAAAGCGAAGGCAATTTCGGGGTTATCACCATGCTATCCAACATTTGCCGATGTTAAACAATTCATTAGGGTCGGTAATCCTTAAAGGAGCTTCACTGTGGTCCAAAAGCCTAAAAACACAAAATTTGAAAATCTTAATTAGATCAACTGGGACACTTAAAACAGAGAAATAATTATATAAAGATAATTAAGAAATATAATTATATTGAAATTCTACATTTAACGTAAAAATCACTATTTATTTTCATGTCATTTTACACATTTTGGCTAAACAGATTGAGTGCATGATCTGAAATTTTACATATAGGTTATTGATGACGATCTACATCAAATGGTTTAAAAATCTCAAAAAAGTTTTTAGTCCTGTCTAGTTGAAAAACCTCTTTGGTTCCCTTTAAATACATATTGAAAATGAAGATTTGATAATTTTATGTTAGTTTCAGCAAAGTGGATGGAGAATTTTCTTTTTCACAACCACACTCATTAAAGACCCATAAAGCCTAAAGATATGCTATGTTTTTTATATTCTCAAAACATTTATTTTTGGTATCCTGTTACAGTATCCAAAAAGCTACTCATTGGCCATTATTATAGATGAACGATCTTTCACTTCTTTTGCTCTTTGGCAATTTATATGATTATACTGAATTAGGAGTTTGTTTGGAAGTCAAAATACTTCTTTGTTTACAAGTTGTTACCTTAATGACATGTTACACCACATTCTTTGTTACTTTCTTTAGTTGCTTAACATCTAAGATGCTCTAAATCCATTGATAAAAAATATTAAACACATAATTATTCTAAAGAATTAGAAAATTATTGATTTCTGAGGCATAATGTGCCTTTAACAAATCATGACTTGAATTTTCTCCAAGAATAATAATAACACTCCTTACCAAATGAAGACTTTATTGCCGTTACAGCAATCATTGACTAGCAATAATTGACTAATACATAATATCTTTTTGTTTTTCTTGATGTTTTACTTTCAGAAACCCTGGCTAGCAAAGCGCCTCCAACAGGTAAGCAACAGTTTCAATACTTTTCCTTTCTAAACCTTGTTTTTTGTTTAATGAATTTTACTTTCTTTGAATTCTGAAGGTTAATGTCTTTTATCAGTTTGAGAAATTCTTAACTTTTAAATTGAGCTTATACACAAAATTTTTGGTTATATGACAGTGGTAAAGGTCATTCTAATAAGATTTTCTGGATAGTTAACCAGTAAGTACCAATATCTCAGCAATTGTCAAACCTGAATCAAATTGGTAAACAGACATTTACCTCCTGGACAGTTGCCACCATCCTTTTACCCCCTTATTTTGCAGTGGCAGACATTTGCCACCTCATATTTGAGAGGCGAGAAATTTGGCGTCTCTAAAAATCAAATCAGTCATCTCTTTATGCTCCTAAGGCAAGGTTTCTATAGGTATTTTTAGCAGAAATCCATGATATAACAAAGAGCTATGATGGTTGAAGATTTTTCTGTAGTGAAATTTGTGAATATTGAATAATAAAAACCAATATCATTTTTATTGTATTTCAGTTGTTAAAGATGATGTGAAGATGGATTTGTATTTTTTATTGGACGAAGCAATGTTGGCAGAAGATTTTGAGATCACAAAACGCTTCATGAAAAATGTACTTCAAACGTAAGAGTATTTTGACTATTTTCTTAGTGTGTTAAGTTGTTCTATATTAATGTACATTTGCATGTATTTAATTTGTATATATTCATTATTTTAATAATTGAAATAAAATAAAACAACTATGAGTAACATTTTCATATTTAATTTTGTTATATGTATATGACTCATACATGAACGCTTCAACAATGTTATTGCAAACAATAAAGCAATATCGCACTAAATACAATTCAAGGTTGGATTGTTTTGGCCGCTCAAATTTGACAGGGTATCCCGTGTCTAAATAATTCGACCGAGAGGAGATCAGACGTGCTTTATATTACACATTTACTTTTTGCTAAAGTCCAAATACATACAAAAACACGCAAACAGTATCATACAAACGCAACGCAACGCAAACGCAAAACACAGTGTTCAACAGTCCAAAAGATTACCGCAAATGACATCAAATTGAAGATTCCATTCATCGCTGGGAACCCAAGCGTATAAATAGAACCCACAACTGACGCCATTGTACGGCAACGCCATACACTGCAACGCAAAAAACAGGAATTGCCAAGTGCTACGGGCAAAACCAAATAACGCAAACTGCAGTCCAAACACATGGACAAACTGTATGATACTTCCAAAATTAATTTCCTGATTATAGGTCGGCCTACCCTGACGGGTATTCCGTCACGAGCAGTAGAACCATACACAGGTTTTAAGTTAAATGCCAACAAAACAGAATACAATGTCTGATCTCCTCTCGATCGGAAGAATTTTACGCCACTGTGAGCGACGATATCAAAATTAAATATGAAAAAAACAGAGTATAACATATAAATTTCTGTGAGTCTATGAAAGTTTATTAAACTACAGTTTTAAATTCGAATTTCAAGTGTCCACATTTTTTTATTTAAGTCTAAGCTAGCACCGAACGTAATTCTATATACTTATTATTAACCAGTCACAAAGATGTTTTCTGTAATTTATAAAGTACACAGTCACTTCACATTAGCTGGTTTTCACTTATAACACACAATGTTTTTGCTCCCAAGTGTTCCATCAGGGTAGCATCCAATCTCTGCGTTCAGGTGCGTAGCCAACTCTTGACATTTGTGGACGAACACAGGTTATTGACAAAACTCAAACTCAATCCTGCAAATAGATAAACAGCAGCAGTAATCTTGTACAAGCTAAATATCAAATCAATACACATAAGGCTTAACAGTCAAAATATTTAATTAACAGTTTCGATCTTAATGAACCTGCCTATTAACTTCTTAATATATTAGCCTAAACAGGGTGTGGCGGGCGGGTAATTGAGTGTGTTAATGCTTCGTCGTCAAACAAAAACTGAGAAAGTTGCACGAGAAACTCGGGCTTTTATATTATTAACAGCTAACTCTTTAAACCCGGCTCTATATAGAAATGATAAGATAAACACGGTAACCAGCGTGATGTAAACAATCTATAGATAATGACCGAGGTTTGCCGATTGCCACGTAATGATAGCTTTACACAAGGTAGCAGACGATTATTTCTCTAAAATAAATGGGATTATTTTAATTTTAAAATAATCTTTATTATTTTAATAATTGAAATAAAATAAAACGACTATGAGTAACATTTTCATATTTAATTTTGTTATATGTATATGACTCATACATGAACGCTTCAACAATGTTTTTGCAAACAATAAAGCAATATCGCACTAAATACAATTCAAGGTTGGATTGTTTTGGCCTCTCAAATTTGACAGGGTATCCCGTGTCTAAATAATTCGACCGAGAGGAGATCAGACATGCTTTATATACACATTTACTTTTTGCTAAAGTCCAAATACATACAAAAAACACGCAAACAGTATCATACAAACGCAACGCAACGCAAACGCAAAACACAGTGTTCAACAGTCCAAAAGATTACCGCAAATGACATCAAATTGAAGATTCCATTCATCGCTGGGAACCCAAGCGTATAAATAGAACCCACAACTGACGCCATTGTACGGCAACGCCATACACTGCAACGCAAAAAACAGGAATTGCCAAGTGCTACGGGCAAAACCAAATAACGCAAACTGCAGTCCAAACACATGGACAAACTGTATGATACTTCCAAAATTAATTTCCTGATTATAGGTCGGCCTACCCTGACGGGTATTCCGTCACGAGCAGTTAAGAACCATACACAGGGTTTTATGTTAAAATGCCAACAAAACAGAATACAATGTCTGATCTCCTCTCGATCAGAAGAATTTTACGCCACAATAAATTTACCAAAAAATTTATCCCCCAAATTCTTATTGGGAGACTGGTACATTTTTAATGATAGAATCTTTGAAGTAATCTAGGAGGAATTCCAAACCAATATCATTGAGATGAACCCCGTCTGCCCGAAAAAATGCAGTTTTAGCATCAATGTCTGGCTTAATTGTGTCACTTTTACCAGATGAATGAACTAATTGACGGCCTATCCTGTTAACTCGTTTGCGTTTATTTTCCATAGCAACCCAACCCCCCGTGGCATTATGCCAGGTCTGCCTCTGTAATATATCTACCCAAATTAGTACCATTGTAGGGAAAGCTTCACGTAAGTAAAAAATTTCATCCCGAATAACATCTTTCAAATTTAAAATAGGTAAATCTGCCAAATCATTACCTCCTAAATGAACAATAATAATGGATGGAGGTGAAGAAAATAACACCTGTGATTCAATAGAGTGACGGAAAGACTGCCAACTTAGGCCTCGAACACCCCACCAGGCTATTGTTAAATCTTTCAATCTCAAATTAGGCTTTCCTGTATTCTTTGCCCGCTGTCCAGCCCAGAACGGGATCGAGTCACCCAGGACCCAAACATCTAAATATAAATAAAAGATTACACAGCGTAAGATAGTGATTGAGAAGAATCAACATTTAAGGACGAATATAAAGTCGAAACGCTTGAGATGTCCACCTTCCCAGTTTCATTATTACTGATGAAGGGTAACCTTTTGTAGCTAAGTCTGTGGCTCTGCCTATTCTAAAATTATGGGAGGTGAAATGTGCGTCAGACAAATTAGACTGATTGACACACTTAGTTAGTACTGCCGAGAACTGCGTTCTAGTTACCGGCGAAACCATCAGCGTGACAAAATAGAGGGCCCTTTGAACGAGGCCTGATTGACACAAATTCAAATAGAGCGTTAACAGGGCATAAATCACCAGTTTCTCTAGGTATTTTCAGAAGAACAGGAGTCCCTCTTTGATTTGTTTTAAAATGACGCAATTTAATAACTGCATATTCTTTTTGACCTACAAATGTCAAATCCGATAAACTGAGCACATTTTCAGCTTGCATGCCGGATGACGTAACCAATTCGCTGACCCGAAACAAACCATAATAGGCCAAGGTAAAAAGTGACTCGAATAACTTGTTTTCGTAAATATTATAACACACGCTCGGTAGTGAATCACACACCGAAACCAAGGTGCGTATTGTTAATGGTGCCCGACAATCGTTAGTTATACGATTTCTGCGACAGCCTTCTAATAATTTGTTGACCATAAAAACATTATTTATGTCATAAAAACCATATAATTTATGGTAATAATTCAGGCCAGCGATATAAGTTGTAATAGTTTTTTGGCGAATGGCCTTTCTCAAAACAAAATGCCATAAACAAAATCACGTGATTTAATTGGAATAGGCCATTTGACTTAGCATTTTGAAAGATAGTCTAAATTTCTCGAACATATTGACGCTAGTTCGGTAAAGTTGATAAAGAGTTTGATGCTAGTCCCGATTGTAGCAGTTGTACAACTCTAGACTGAATGCGTTCCATAGAAACTCTGGAACCTGGCAAGGGGTGAGGTCTGCTTCCGGTGCCAACTCCCTGAATCGAGATAGCTGAAACCGAGACAAAGCATCACAAATATCATTTTGACAGCCAGGGAGATGACTAGCCTTAATTAAAATGTTGAGTCTTAAACAGCGTAATGCTAAAATTCTGACAAGACACATGACTGCCTCTGATTTTGACGTTAACTTATTGAGTATATGTACAACTGCAAAATTTATCACAATTAAATTTTATTTTTCTGTTCACTAATTCCTCGCCCCAAATGAATAATGCGACTAAAATGGGAAAGAGTTTCTAGAACAGTAATATCCGTGGTGATACCTAATTTCATGCCACCACGTTGGCCATCTTGCATTGCACCAATGACCCTTGAAGTAAAGATTAAAACCTAAACCTATTACCCCCGGCACTATCTGAAAATAACTGCACATCCTCATTTGAGACCCAAAATCTGTCATGAAAAAATGGAAATACCGTTAAATGACTCTAAGAAAACTAGCCACATAGACAAATCCAATTTTATTTCTTTTTTATTCTAATTTCGATTGATGAGATTTAGTAAGCCCACATATTGAATTAATTAAGCAGCGAATAAATGGCACCGACCAATAGCTTATGGCACGACAGCAAAAATTGAAAGATCCAATTAAAGATTGTATCTCTTTTAATGTTGACTTTTTATGAGATAAGATATTCTTTATTTTTTCAACAACCTCGGTTATTTTAGTCGTGGGTATCCTCACAACCATTTTGTTTGAATCTAACTCGAGCCGAGGAAAACGAGGCTCTCTGTGGGCCCCTCGGTCTTATCTTCGGCTAGGGGTACCCCTAACTCCGACATTGTTCCTCTATAAATTTTGTAATGCCCTATTGCAAGAGTCCATCGACGTAGCACCTCCCAAAAAATCATCTAAATAGTGAATTAATTTGCCCGATTCAAAATTAAATGTAATGCAAAATTCTAAGAATCTTGAAAATCTTTCGAAGGTTATACAGCTTACAGATGCTCCAAACGAAGTGCCTTATCGAAATAAAACTTATCATTATAACGAAAACCAAGCAACTCAAAATCTGAAGGTTTAATAGGGATCAGACGGTAAGCACTTTTAATATCGGATTTAAATAGTTTGCAGCGCTGACCTAGATCTTGAATCATTTTGATTGCCTGATCGAAACTGGTGTATTGAACCGTGCACAAGGCCGGATCAATATAATCATTGATTGATTCGCCGGCGGATATGACAGATGATGAATCATTCTGAACTCCCCGGGGGTTTTCTTCGGGACCAGACCAATCGGGGATACAATTAAGTTTGGTAGTGGACGCTCATTGAATGGTCCAGCTACCCGGCCAGCTATAATTTCTTTATTAATTTGACTGTTAATTATTTCCGGATCTAACAGAGTAGAACGCAGATTATTGGAATCACGTGCAACACGGGGACCGGAATACTGTAGTGGAAAGCCATTCTTAAAACCATCATATAAAAACTCTGCTTCAATTTTATTATAAAATTGTAAATAATTTTGCATGGCCGAAAGTTTAATTGGTGATTTCGCAATATTATGAATATCTGGATTTGACTGATTTTCTGATGTACAACAATGATAAATCGATTTACTTGTTTGACTGCCCTCTATTGTAACCTCTCCCTTTTGAATGGGACTGAGACCCCCTTCCTCGAAAATTACGTTGAAAAGCTGGTGTACGACTTTTCTGTGTATAACCAACTGAATTTGAAGAGAAACAGTTTATCTCAGGATGGGGCGCATTACATTTCGCGCATAAGTGGGGAAATTTGCAGTTTTGCCACGTGCATCTACCATTATTAAAATCAAGACACGTGTACTTAAATTTTGAAACGTTTTGGGCTTGATCTGGCTGCCTAACTTGCATACACCGCCACCATAGGTCATTGTTGATTTTAGACCATGGTGAAGGTGTAATAGCCTGGCGTAAGCGAAACTGCTCATCATAAGTTTTCCAGGCTGACCCGCCTTGTCGCATAGCGCATTCTCTTATATTGTACATATAATGTAGCAGTTCATAAACTTTGTCTGAATGATTTGACAGGTATATGGAGGCATATATGATGAATGCGTTTGTCCATTTTTCGATATCATAAATCTGATCTTTACACTCCTTTGGAGCCGAAACCAATTGTAACTCGGAATTAACCGTAACAATACCGCCCCTAAAAAATTCGGATAGCTCAATTGCACCCTTAAGCAACAACGCAAAATTAACGTACTCGCCTCTACAGATTTGCTGTTTGAGAACTGTAGGGATATGAGCCGCTAAGTCATCGTCTGCTAGGCGAACAGACGGTGCTGAGCATACATTAGCTGGTGAAACATTTGTCAGCGGCCTAGAATGAACATTTGCATTATTACTGGTTGTGTCGGACCCCAGAAAATGATCATTATTTACACGTGTTGGTAAATCTTTATTTGAAATAATACCCGATGCACTCAAAATTCGCTCGAAGTCGATAACATTGGACTTACCCGCTTCAGTCTCTAGAAGCCTGACATCCACCATGTCGTCCAATTCGTCGGCTTGGCGCTTCTGACCCCTCGATTGTCTGGCATCGACGTGCGGGTTATCCTGCACGTGCTCTTGACTCTGTTGGGGCTGGGCGCTACCACAATCATCTACTGCTCTACCTGCACGACGTGGAGTTGAATTTTGTTGACATTCGACGGTCCCTCGTGCATTTCTCTGCAAACGACGCTCCCCTAGAGGAATTTCAGGTACTGAAGCTGCCCGTCCTCTCTCGCTACGTCGCATGGCCATTTCTCTTCTCGAAGGTTGAATCCTTCGGCGTGTACGACCTCGTGGCATGGCTAATAAATTTCAGCTTACTCTAATTGAGTGTGTTAATGCTTCGTCGTCAAACAAAAACTGAGAAAGTTGCACGAGAAACTCGGGCTTTTATATTATTAACAGCTAACTCTTTAAACCCGGCTCTATATAGAAATGATAAGATAAACACGGTAACCAGCGTGATGTAAACAATCTATAGATAATGACCGAGGTTTGCCGATTGCCACGTAATGATAGCTTTACACAAGGTAGCAGACGATTATTTCTCTAAAATAAATGGGATTATTTTAATTTTAAAATAATCTTTATTATTTTGTTAAACCTACATTTGAATGATATCAGAGATTGCTATTATAAAAAAATTTTAAAAAGTTTTTTTGACTTGATTTCATGGACAGTTAATCATGCACATACAATTTTTTCATAACATTTGACAGTTTGCTTAAACACAAAATAACGACCTAAACATGCCCAAATTTTTTACATAGATAAAAAAACCCATATTTTTGTCATGATCTTTGATATTCATGTGACAAAGAGATTTAATTTAACTTGACAGATTTATTTCATTTCATCTTTTAAGTTTTAAAGCTGCATGCCTCCAGATGAGCCATTTTTTTTTTTTTTAAATCAACCTTGACAAACCTTGAGAAAAATGTACTAAGGTTTTAAAACAGTAAAAATATTAACTATTTAAGAAGTAATTAATAAGTTTTATAATATTAGTAAATGACTGACTATTGCAGTATTTATAACCATATATCTAATATCTGTTGTATGACTTATGCAGTAAAGGGTATTTTTGCATATTCTGACCCGTTTTTGGTAATTTTTGTAGATTTTAAGTGTCGTTTGCAATGCCTAAATTACTTTCTTTGTTCTCTTGACAATAAATATATACTTTACTTTTTTAAACATTTTAAAAATTTCATGAAATAAGCTTGAATCTAGAGGCATGCATGCTGTTTTAAAGTTAAGGCCAAAATACTAAAGATGATCACAAAGTCATTTGACTGTCTTCATACATGTAACTTTTTTTGCTTACCCAAAGTATTATCTTTTTTGTAAATCATTTGCAGTTTTAAACTCGGACCAGAAAAAGCCAGGGTGTCTGTGTATTTGTATGGATCATCGATCGGTCAGTTCTTTGTAGTGGGGACCTACTCAACAGAGGCATCTTTATTCAATGCCATCGACAACCTAGCATTAAATCCATCCAATCAGAATGGTCGTAACATTGTTGGCATGTTCAGTACTCTGCAGACACAGATTACAAATTCTGGTACAACCGGTCCTGTGATAGTCGTGCTTTTTGTGACCGGATCAGTCGACAGCTCCGCGGAGGCCATATACGCAGCTAAAACATTTAGAGATGGTTCTAATCCAAATGTCTATTTGATAACAATGGGAATAGGTAAATCTTTTTCTCCTGTAATGTTTTTAGCAATTAATGTATATGTTTAACTTAACTTTACTTAAATTTAATGTTAAGATAACAGGGTACTTGTGATGGCAAAGTTATTTAAGTGTCAATGTAATAATCTTAAAGATTTCTAACCATCGATGTTCTAACCCAAACAGGGGCAAGCTTTGAGCAAAATACTTAATTGCTATGCTAAATACTGGTTGCTTACAGGAACTGGTTCAAGTATGTTTAGCTTTAGTATATACTAACAGGGTGTGTAACTCCTGTTGCAAAGGATTGTCATGGGTTATTTAGTTACTTCCCTTAGATAGTGAGATTTACTTTTGTAAGTCATAGCATGGCATCGATTGCTTTTCTCAGTAAGGTTTAAGCTCTTCAAAGTCCAAATAGGATTTAAAGATAACTTGAGAATAAAAGAATGAAAGTATTTTTGAAGATTTTTCATAGCTATTTTGTATCTTGAATTCTTAACTCAATAATGATGTTTTTTTTCCTTGAGATTTTTGTACCATCTTAACCTCAGGTTAATAGGTGGTAAATACTTTTTAACAATGAATTATTCAATGTCTTGTCCCGCTCATTTTATTTTCAAGTTGTTTATTTGCCACCTCCTGATTATACCTCTTTATTCCCTATAGTTTATATTATCATAATTGAATACAGTCTTGTATTACATAACCATTGTCAAAAACGAAAAAAAATATTGGATCTATTTTCATGTTGTATAAATCACTGAAAACATGCAGCATATAAAGTGATTAGTGGAGTCATTGTTGCAAAGTGGTAAATGGCATTGACATAAAATCTGTTGCCTCTCGTCACTATGGGTTTAAGTCTTAACAGACCCAGATTTTTCATGTGAAGGAACCATCCTGCTAGGTAACATGTCATTGGTTTTGCTTGAGTGCTTACTTGTGCTGAAAGTAATGAACGAAGAGAACCTTAGTTCTTCTTCCATGTGTAAAGCTGGAATTTTTTTTTACTCACCATATTTCCTTGTTTACAGTGTTGAGTACATGTGACTCGAAACACCACCCACTCTCTCATAAAAAGTGATAATAATTAAATAATTAGCCTCTAAACATGCTGTTAGAGACAAGATTCTACTGCAAGAAGGCAAAACAAGAACAAAATTAAGTCATATTATTGTCAAACCTTTGTTAAAATACACCTGTACCTTCATTTGAAGACCCATAAATAGCAACCCTGTCACTTAAAATTACCTGTCTGCTTTACTATTTTGTTGAATCCTTTCTAGTTCCAAATTTACCCTTTTTTGAAAGACAGAGTGCGAGCAAAAGTCACTTTATCCATTTTCATAGTCTAATATCAAGATAAACAATGTTTGTTGTTGTTTTTTTTTTCATTCACAACATTACTCTTAAATGCACATTATGCCTCAGATGTGAGTAATTTTTTCCTGAAGAAAATTGTGCTGAATGTGACATTATTTGTCATAAGAGTGGCAAAATGTAATATTAAAGCAGTATTTTGACTTTCATAAAAAATACCAAATCACTATCTTTGTTCTAATTGCCAAAAAGCAACAAATGCAAAAGATGGTGCAGATAATTAGCCAATAAATAACTTTTTGGAAACTATAATAGGACTACAAAAATGAACAGCTTTTGATATATAAAAAAAGCATAGTTGGGCATAATGGGCTATCTTTAAACATAAATTAGTAGATAATTTATGTTGAGGAAATTGAATAGTAAATAAAAACAAATTTTTAAATGACATATTTTTACAGGTACCAACACAGCAATCTTGGCAAGTGAACAAAACCACCTGACATATGTTACTGATATTAGTAGATAATTTATGTTTAAGAAAATGAATAGTAAATAAAAACAAGTTTTTAAATGACATATTTTTACAGGTACCAACACAGCAGTCTTGACAAGTGAACAAAACCGGCTGGCGTATGATACTGGGACAGCATTTCAAGCGGCCAATTTTCTCAGTCTCGCCGGAAATGACCAAGCATCTCAAGACTTTGTGAATTCCATAAGGAGCACAATTTTCCAACGTACGTTTGGTTTTCATTATTAACAGATTGGTGATCCATATCATCAGTTAAAATGCTGTATCTGTCGTATTTTTAGCCTGTAAATTATAATATAACCCATGGACCCCTGTCAAAATTGGTTGTTTTGGCTAGCACATCTGAAGTCTCAAATAGAAACATAAACCCTGGCCATTCTAGAAGTTGAAAATTAATAAATCATTGTCTTTTCAGAGAATTTTCTAAATATGTTGTAACTGAATAAAGTACAGTGCAGACCATGATCAGATGGCATGGATGTGCAAGCTGATCTTGGTCTATTACCTGGGGAGCATTGGTAGATTCTGTCATTGCCAGCTGGCTAAGAGTTTTAAGTATCAATAATTTAATGACTATAACAAGAAGTAAAAGATTGCTGAATGATGATTAATTCCTCTTTTTGTATTTCAGTTGCCAAGGGAACATATGTGAAACAAGGAGCAGGTTTGTCTTTTAACTTATTTACATTAAAATTGTATCTACTTTTTTAACATGTTTATACAGAATTTTGATCCCTGGCCCCGTGTTCACAAAGATTTAAAGATCAGGATCAAGATCAGGATCAAATTTAAAAACTCAAATATTCTCCAGTATTTATTCTCTTAGATTGAATTTTCAGTATTAACTTGATAAAACTGTACTTGAAATAGCACGTCTATGAAATTTTAGAATGAATTTATTGATTTTTTTTACAAGAAATAGGTATTTTACAGTTGATCCAAATTTTGATCTTGATCCTAAAATTGATCCTCATTTTGATCCGTTTATTTTTGCATTTGTTCTCTTATTTGTTGATTTTATCCCATAATTGGATGGCTTCTTTGCAAATAAGCAATTATATATATTTTGAATATGTTCCATTTGATTCTAGCATAATACGGTCAGTTTTAGTTTTATAAAACAATGAAAATAAAATCAGGATCAACTGATCCTGATCCTGATATTTTCTTTGTGAACACGGGGCCTGGTGCTGCTTTTGAATTTTGAAACACTCAAGGTTAGTCAAAATCGTCTTTCCTGTTTTGGCGCCAGATCACTTAAATTGTGTTTAAGTGTGCCATAAGAAACAAACCAAACAAAGCAAAAAAGTAAACAGAATGTTTAGGATGGTTCTCTTGAGTACAGTGGTACTTAATTTTTCAGATAAAAATTTATTTGGGAAAAAGAATTGCTTTCAGTTATTTATTATGCCCCCACTTCGAAGAAGAGAGGGGGTATATTGCACTTGTCGGTCCATCGGTCCATAGACAAAATGGTTTCCGATCCATAACTAAGGTCACATTGACCTTGTAAGCAAAAACGGTTTCCGATCAATAACTAAAGAACCCTTATGCCTAGGAACTTCAAACTTGGTATGGTGATTGGTCATGATCAGTAAATGACCCCTATTGATTTTGGGGTCAAGGGGTCAAACGTCAAGGTCAAATTGACCTCTTAGGTAAAAACGTTTTCCGATCAATAACTAAAGAACCCATAGGCCTAGGAACTTCAAACTTGGTATGGTGATTGGTCATGACCAGCAGATGACCCCTATTGATTTTGAGGTTAAGGTGTCAAAGGTTAAGGTCACATTGACCTTGTAGGTAAAAATGGTTTCTGATCAATTACTAAAGAACCCTTAGGCCTAGGAACTTCAAACTTTGTATGATGGTTGGTCGTCACAGACCAGCAGATGACCCCTATTGAATTTTGGGTCAAGGGGTCAAAGGTCAAGGTCACATTGACCTTGTAAGTAAAAAGGGTTTCTGATCAATAACTAAAGAACGCTTAGACCTAGCAACTTCAAACTTGGTATGGTGATTGGTCATGACCAGCAGATGACCCCTATTGATTTTGGGTCAAGGGGTCCAAGGTCAAGGTCACATTGACCTTGTAGGTAAAAACGGTTTCAGATCAATAACTAAAGAAAGCTTAGGCCTAGAAACTTCAAACTTGGTATGATAATTGGTCCGATCAGCAGATGACCCCTTTTGATTTTGGGGTCAAGGGGTCAATGTCATATTGACCCTGTACTGAATGACGGTTTCTGACCAATAACTCAACAACTCAAGTTGCCTTGGTTGATATTTTTATATTGAGCTAAAAATGCTTTTGGTATACACATTTGAAGGTCTTATGTAATATAACAATTTGGCTGTCATTAATTAAAGGCCTACATGATTCATAAAATTTATGCATATATCATATAAGATTTGTAATAACTTAAATTGCTGCACACAACCTATAGGGTCACAATAATTATTACCTTGTGACTAGTCATGACCAGTAGATACTAGATAACCCTTATTAATTGTTTGTTCACTGGGTCAGAAGTCATGCATAATAACCTGATCACATGACAAATTGGCTGCCGATAGGGGGCATACATGTTTTACAAACATATCTTGTTTTATTGGCATTAACAGTTGTATTTTAACTTTGCACTGCACAATCGTGACTTAGTATTAAAGTTTAAGTCAATGATTTAGGACTGTAACATATTAGTAACTGCCATGTTTGTTGGTGGTGCTACATATGCAAATTAGCATATGTTCTGAATGGCACTGCATCTGCATTACAGTGATCATATTATGTTTTAGTTTTATGCTTGACTATTTGAAGAATAGAAAGAGCTATTGTACGCACCCAAGTGTTGGTGTCGGCATCACACTTTGGTTATGTTTTTGTGTGCAACTTGGTTATCTCCAAACCACTGAAGGGAATGGGTTGAAACTACACAAGCTTATTTGAGAACATAATAGCAGGTCACTATCCAAGGCCCATAACTCAAACATTAATTTTGATAAAATTATGGCCCTTTTTGAACTTGAAAAATTCTACACTATCCAGGCTCTTGATTTACTCTCGAGCATTGTCAAGAAAATTATGACCTACCAACAGCTCTTGTTCCAAGATACCTTTAATTAAAAAAAAATTCTAGTGATGTGTATAATGTAGAACTGCTTTTATTGGCATTACATTGATATATCTAATATGATTTTATGGCTTTCAGGAATGTCCTACAGATGGACAAGTATGTTTGACGTGGTGTTTATGATTGATGGATCAGCCAAAATGTCACAGTTCATCTATTATCCAGTGGTGAAGTTTGTCATCAAACATCTTATTGACCAGTATGTATAGAAATGATCATATTTTGACCATATCCACAAAATAATATCTTTTTATATTGACCATGTTTTTTATTCTCTATTTCTCCTTCAGTTAAATTTAATAATTTCAAAATTTGCTTTCTCATTTATATCATGGACTCAATGATTGGTTGAGATGAAAATTCTGTCCGATTCGAAATATTAATTTAAGTATAGAATTCTGCACATAATAAAATTCCAGTAGGAATTTTCATAGTTTTCTGCATAGAAAAGTCAACAATTTTCTTTGTAAGATGGAATGACACAGACCTTGCATTTCGGTCCATGGTGCGCCAAGGAATCACTGTTCTGTGCAAATTCTGTTCCAATTGCAACCACTATCTGTTCCAAAATTACATACACTGGAAAGCTCTAGCTTAAGTATATAGATATGCACAGTGCTTGCAGAAATCACTGATTCTGTTCCAGTTCTGTCCCTATTCCGCCCAGAATTGGGGCCAAAATTACATGCACTGGAAAACTTTTGAGTATACAAATAAGTACAGGGCTTGCGTGTCATATGATTACATGTCAAGTAAATTACAAGTTCAACATATATACTTTGATTAATTATACTATGAGTATGTTGGGATGAAAGTAGATTTTAAATAACTTTTCTTGCATATTCATAGAAAATTGCACTGTGAGTTTGTCAAAATTAATTATAATTATTCATATACACCTCTCTTATAGTAAACTATGTATCAGAGCTCAAATAGTGAAACACATTCAATTTTAATATTTACATGCATTTTCTAAATGAACTGTTATAGAGCTCTGTATTTTAGCTTAAATTTTGTCATTCAATTATAACTTTGAAATAATATGAAAAATTAAAATCTGACCAAAATAAAATGTCAATAAAGGTGATACTGGTAGTTCAAGGACTTGGCAAATTTGATTTTTCAATCCTCAGATTTGAGCTTGGACCAGACGCTGGTCGTGTAGCGGTGTTAGTGTATGACGCAGTGGGCGTGTACAACATCATCAGGTTTGACACCTATAATAACAACCACGACACCCTCTTTGACAAGATAGACAATCTACAACTGATTCAGAGGGAGGACTCTGTAGATAACGCCGTTGGTAAGTCCACTTTATCATCATGACCTTTGACCTTATTGTACATGTAATGTTGTAACATTAACACTCTTTGACCAATCAACAAATTATACAAAATGCGGATTCTTTTAATCTCAAGTTTTCAAAGAAAAAAAGTGGCATGTTGTTGTTGCTACAGCAGTTGCCAATGCCATTGTCCCCGTTGGTCAAATTTTTTTTATATATTATCATATTGCCTTCATACTAGGGCACAACAACTGTTTGGCTTTTTCATCGCAGCCTTTGACATCTTCAGACATGAATTGTATTATTACACAAGGACTTTGAATTTATTCATCTGTGTTAAATATCCAGCAAGAAAGACTTTTGTCTAAGGTGCCCACTTGATTGAGTTAAAAATAATACACAGAGGGGCAACCAAGGCCAGCCTCCTAAAACATTTCAAATTGGCCGCAAGATCTTGATGGTGTAAATGTGCCTTAAACCCTTGTATGATAAGAAAAAACAATAGATTTATTACTCTTTGACAATTTACTAGAATGATAATCACAGGTCATTTTTTAAGTCTCCCCAATCTTATACATCATGTAAATGTCCTTGAAAACTAACCGTTATAAAACTTTAAATTAGCTTTGTTAGTAAAAGCCAATTCCTGTTTGGTGTAACAGTCCTCAGAGTACAAAATGAACACGATATAAATATCTTCATTACCAATGTACATAATGTAGCCGCTAATGGGTATCGTGTCTTGTTTCATAAACGGCAATTTATGGGCACTTGACATATTTAGAGAAAGTTTTAGAGGGTTATTACAGATCAATCTTGTGCTTCAGATTTATACCCACGCTCTAATTAATGTCAGTTGTTGTACAAATGAAGGTCATTACCTCCTTAATGTGTTGTTATAGTATTTGTTTTTGTTTTTGTTGGGTTTTTAATTTAGTCACACTAACTATACTTAATGACATATAGTAAATGTGGTATCTTTTGTCCACAGCTACCCAATAACATGAAATAATATTCAATATAGGATGTCACAAATGATGTTCTTTGAATTGCCAAAAAGCATTTAATTGATGTAAAGCATTAAATATTCAAAGTATAAACTATTTATTCCAGCTAAGAGGGATTATCTCAAAGTATTCCAGCTTTAAAAAGCTAAATTATTAACTTTCTTTGGATATTTCATTTCAACATTTAATGAAGAAAGAGTAAAGTTAATTATAGAAAAGTTATATAATTCATGCTAGTTATACTCCCCGATACAAAGTTGGGGGGGGATATAGGAGTCACTCGGTTGGTCTATCGGTCAGTCGGTTGGTTGGTCTGACGGTCGATCCAGTGGTCTGTTGCATCTTCCTTGTCCAGAGCATACCTTGAAGACTAATGGTTGAAATTCAATACAACTTCATACAATGGTCAAGTACATTGAAAGGAAGTGCAGTGCACAAGAATCATTTCTCCATCTTCACTAATTACAGAGTTATTGCCCTTTGTTACTTTTCCTTGTCCGGAGCATAACTTGAAAACTACTGGTTGGAATTCAATACAACTTCGTACAATCGTCAAGCACATTAAGAGGGAGTGCAGTGCACAAGAACCATAACAATATTTTGACAAATTACAGAGTTATTGCCCTTTGATACTTTTCCTTGTCTGGAGCATAACTTGAAAGTGTTGTTTGAAATTCAAAACATCTTCATACAATGGTCAAGCACAATAAGAGAAAGTGCAGTGCACAAAAACCATAACTCTGTCCAGAGTAATTATATAGTTAATGCCCCTTGTTACTTTTCCATTGCTTTTTTCTTGTCCAGAGCATAACTTGAAAACTACTAGTTGGAATTCAATACAATTTCATACAATGGTCAAGTATATTGAGAGAAAGCGCAAGGCACAGAAGCCATAACTCTTTCTTGACTCATTGAAGAGTTTTTGCCCTTTGTTACTTTTTATTGTCAAGTGCATAACTTTTAAATTAATGGTTGGAATTCAATGAAACTTCATATGATGGTCAAGGGCAGTGAAATGAAATGCAGTGCACAAGAACCATAACTCTATTTGGACTAATTACAGGTATTGCCCTTTGTTACTTTTTATGTCCAGTGCAAAATGTTGGAATTGAATACAACTTCATACAATGGTCAAGCGCACTGAGAGGAAGTGCAGTGTACAATAACCATAAGTCCATTTTCAGTATTTGTAGAGTTATGACCCTTTGTTCCTTTTCCTTGTCCAGTGCATAACTTAAAAACTAATGTTTAAAATTCAATGCAACTTCATACAATGGTCAAGCACAATGAGAGGCAGTGCAATGCTCAAAAAGCTTAACTCTTTCTGAACTAATTACAGACTAATTCATTAAAACTTCATCAATGGTCAACCAGTTTGAAAGAAAATGCAACATACAAGAACCTCAACTATCTTTAATTGCTGACAACCAAGGTATTCTGTTAGTAGTAACTTCCTCATTTCCAAAGCAGTCTTGCCTTCTGTATTAATCACATTTAATGATAGTTCTAGTTTTTATTAAAATAATTTGTTTTGTAAAGAAAAAGCCTAATTTTATGTGAACCTTGGTTACCAAAAATGTGGTTTGTAATTCTTAAAGGGATATTCAGGAAAAATAATGACAAAAATATTAAAATGATCTTTTGTACTCAACTCGCGCTAAAATGACATTTCTAAAAGTTTCAGCATGAATTTCTGTTTTAATTCTATATATTGTGGATTTGAAGCATAAATATATCTATATATGTTGAACAAAATTTAGACGCCAATAGAATCACCGAATAATTTTAAAACAAGTCAGGTGACTTGAACAAATCGTTGAAGTTACATTAACAGATACTGTGGATATTGTATGATTTAAACAAACCTAAATCATTCATTTGACATGTTCTTTAACGTTTCCAGAGTTCACTGTGACAACTATTGTGAAATCCTAGCGCTCTAACCTGACCCACGGGGGTCAGGTTAGGAAACCACCATTTTATTATTTATATGGAGAAAAGTTTTGTTCCTTTGACTGTCTAATATATTTATTTTGAGGGCATTTACAGAATTAGGAACGAAAAATTCAAAACTAAGAAATGAAAATTTTGCCTGTGTCTCCCTTTAAATGCATCATACTTTTTGGCAGTCTTAATGCACCTTGATCAAAGGTTAGAAGAATTTTTCTTAGCTTATACTCTTATCACTTTGATATCAGGTATTTGATTGGTCAAAACCAGCACAGAATGTATATTGACCAATGAAAATCCTGAGAAGGATAGCAGCTGAATTATCAGCTGAATTATGAATATTGCTGTCACTTACTGTGCTTAAAATGTTGATATTCATGGAATACATCAAATGCTATAATATCAGTGGAAAATAAATCCATGATTAAGTGAGTAGGGGGAAAAAAAGATAAGGCGACCATTGACCAGGCTGAATAATTTCTAATTATGTTTTATATCAACATTAAAAGAATAATCTGCCAGTTAATGTCATAAAACCTATATATGAAACCTATCTAACAGGAAATTGAACTTGTTTATTACATTTATATATGTTTATGATATTTTTGCACTTTTGGAACAAAAGGAAAGAGAGATCAAAAGAAATTTATGATATTTTTCCATTTATTTTAAGTACATAGAAAAATATAGTACACACACCTATCCCTTCCCCCCCCCAACACCTATTCCCTTCCCCCCCCCCCAAAAAAAAGATAGAAAAGAATAAGAAAAAGCTGATTTTAAGTTTTTTTTAAATAACCCCTCCAAAAAAAGAAAGAGAGAATTTTTATGCCCCCACTACGCTGGTTACAAGGGGGCATATCAATTGCCTTTGTCCGTTCATCCAGTTGTCCATAATGTCCGTCTGCAGACTGATGAAAACAGTGGAATGTTGGGCATCGATAGTGACTTATGGAAACATTACTTGTTTAAAATTGATATGTATTTATATAGTATATTGTTAAAGCAAAAAAAAAAGTTAGAATCTGTATAGCTAATAGCTAAAAAAGATGGTAGGTAGGAATACCTGAAATAAATTGAAGTTATTGACGTAACATTTTCATTTTGTGCTATATCATATGGCTTCTGATTTGATTTACTGTAATCTTAGAAGCACAAAAATGACTGTTTTTCCGTTTATTCCAATCTGTTCATCTTGTCTTCTAATAGGTTATTATAGGGGCTTCATTTTGATCTATTGAAATTATTTTATATATTATATAGAGCTAGAAAAAATTGTAAATATAGTTATTACTTAAAAAGGAGACTGCTATACTTTTCCAAAGTTTGTTGTTATCTAGTTCTGTTTATTAAATTTAGCATTGGAAGTGTTTCCTGACTATTGAAATTGTGGCAAGTTTTTCCCAATTTCTTTTAATTAAACTTTCTTTTTATTAGGATTTACTAATTTTCTATCAATTTTTTTTGTGTTGAGATTCTGAGATACTTTTGTTTTAGGTCAGAATAGAGGAGATGATGTTACTGATATAGAAAATATCTGAAATATCTGAATACATATATATTAATTGATTTCAAACAAAATTTGTTGAAAAATGCTTAGACATGAAAAAAAATAAGGATGTTTTAGTCATAAGCTCATACCAGGCTTAGCTTGAAATGTGAAAATTTATATGTGATTAAATTATGGCAGTATTCCAGTAAAAAATGCTCAGTCTTGGCTATGGAATTGCACCCCCTAACCTGTTGATATTCTTAAACAGACTTGTCCAACTTCCATTTTTGGAACCGTTCATTATGAATTTTTGGGGATTTTAAAATAAAAATATGAAATTGTTCAGCTGACAGTATAGAGCCTGGATTAGATAATAATTTAATAAACACAAAGACTGTGAGCAATAAATCAATCTGGAGCCATTTAGAGTACCTCATAGATGCTTATGCGCTTTTAAGGCAAAAAAATCTTACAATTACTTATTGAATATGTCACAAATTAGACATGTTTCTGGTGTAAATTTGTTAAATATTCAGATTTGTTACACCAAAAATCTCACTTTTTGTCTG